GAAGATAAGTAGCAAGATAATTCCTATAATAACTCCTAGACAGATTCTGGTTCGTGAAAAAAAATCAATTTCTAGCAAATGAATTATGCCATCCTATTTAATTTGGAAAGTTTACATTTTGAATTTTCAGCCCCGCTGTTAATTATCTTGTTTGTATCATTTTTAAATCAGTTGTTCCATGAAGAGAAGAACTGATGGGTCTGGTCTCCTGCGGATAAAAGAACTGATGCTGAACAAACATGGGAGTTACTCCACATGGGGTGAACTGTGCTGCTGTTTTTGCAGTGAAGTCTGTCCTACTCACTGCCTTTGCAACACACAGAAGCAGAAAAAACTCTGAGGCAGGCAGACAGAAAAATTAGGAAACCAAACTGCACATATGACATATTTAACCATGGAACTTGAATATTTTAACTTTCTAATAGGTAGGTGGCATCAAATTTTGGACCAGATAGCTTTTTGATGAAGCTATATCTGAGAACTGTCAGATTTTACCTTTTTCATAAATTAGTTTTCATTACAACAGTATTTGCCTTTCTTAGACTCATTTGAATTAAAGGGATAACAATGTTTGTTTGCAAAACAAGTGCAGACTTTGCCTGGAACTTCAGCCAGTATCCAACATGTCCCTGCTATGCGATGTTAAGGAGATAGGACCCTGTGATATTTTCTGTGCAGCAATATTGTCAGCATTAGGCAGCTGTCTGAGTTTCTCTAGGGTGGTATGAGCAGAGGCTACATAATTATAGGATGGGTATCTATAGGTACACATCTAAATTACTCCTTAGCCATTCAAATGAAGACTTGCTATAGCACTACCTGCATAGAACAACTTGTAAAGATTCAGACAGTCTTGACTTTGAGAAAAACTGCACAATAAAAGGTATAAGAGACCAGAATCTATCAAATGTAAGCTACCTATTTTGGTGGTGAAGGCACTGACGCACCTATTTTAAGCCTGTTTGAAAATCTTAACCACAATACCTACAGGTAAGATTGCCATCTGCGTAATTATCGTCTAAAATAGGCTTATCCCCCTTTGTTAAGCCAGGACCTATTTTGGTACATATGACTGTGCACATACTTTAAAAGTTCATTACAGTACCCATAGTCAGTAAGGAAAAAAATGCTGAAGTAGTGAAAAATAGATTCAAAGACCTATGGATTGGTGTCACTGTACTGGCTAAGGATTCTTTAACTTCAGTAGCCGAAGATAGAAAAAAGCTCAGTTCACTCTGTCAAGAAAGAATAAAAAAACAAACAAAAAACCTATCCTCTGTTGACACAAATACATACAACCTCACAAAAAGCAGGCAGTTTTCAAAATAATAGTTTTTTGTAGTAATTTCTGAACAATTATTACATACAAGGGTTTCAAAGACATGCTTGCAGCAGCTATACAGCTCATACAGTTTTTTCCCAATTTAGGATCAAGTCTTCACTCATAGCACCTACTAAATGAAAAAGTGCCTTAATGCATTAGATCTGCCTTCTCTCAAGTCCAATTTTTCATTATTTCAAGAAGGGGAAAGGAGTGTCTTGAGCAGTTGTGTATTCCAGGGTGTCAATAAAAACACTGAAAGAATCATTTGGAACTCGGAAAAAAATACAGTAACTCAAACTTTACTGTCAGTTACCCAAATACAACTCCCAGGATCATGCTGTCTTTGCCAGAAATGCCGTCAGAAGTAAAAATGCATCAACGTTGTCTATGCTTGAACCTGCATCTCTGCACCTGAAAGCGGAAATTGGTTCAATGCTTACAAATACATCTGCCAGACAACCAATAGGCTAAGACAAACTCCCCTTCCATGATGGTTTAAACTAAAATGCTAGGCTTTGGGCTGGACATCCTGAGACACAGGCACATTTTCCACTACGACTGCTTGAGAAAGGTAATCTTTATCTCCTCTGAGCCTGGGAATGGTAATCTTTATCTTCTCCAAGAGGCAGAAATCCTTGCACTGTGCAAATTCAGAAGACACTTTTATTGAGCTTTTGAGGAGCTTTCCAAAACTTTGGCTCTTTCTACTTGACTAGGCTGGGATTTATTTTTTTAATTTAATCATTACCATGATATCAAGAATGATAACATAGCAGACCTCTCAACTTATCTAGCTCCTAACAGATTAAACCCATTACTTATCTCTAAAGCTTTGAGATCCCTCTCTCAAGAAACAAACAATTGCCAACCTTAAACTCCAAAACTGTTTCTTTTTGCCAAAAAAAAAAAAAAGAAGAAGAAAGAAAACCTGTACCAAAATTGCATCAGGGTGCAGCAAGGCCTGGCTGCTCTGCAAAGGAAGGTGAGCCAGGAGCTGAGAGTGACAGCAGGTCAGACGGGAGCGGCAGCCTCACTGACAATGTTGCAGGGGTCAGGATCAGGGCCAGAGATGCTGATCACGGTCAGGCACTGTTCAGCGATGCCCTGGCAAGGCCATCATGCTGGCGCAGGTGTAGGCTGAGCTGGGAAGCCCAGTTGGGGGGTCCAGGTCAGGGCTGGACTCGGGGATGTCCATGACTGGGCGCAGACCAGCTGTTGCACAGCTGTGGCACCAGTGGTAAAGCCACAGCTGGAAACAGCCCCCCGGGGGTAAGGAGGAGCAAGTCCTTGTCTCCAGCTTTCTTCACTGCACTGGTGAAGGCGCCCACCTTGAACGCAGCCAGCTGTACTCCTTCACCCTGCCAACTAAACACCAGAAGGGGTTCATGCTCACAGCCCTGACAAATTGGACTTTATGCCAAAGTTTGGAGATGTGCATAGACATGCACTGGGCTTCAAGCAGCTCCAGAGAACACTGACAGAATTACTTCAGCTACCCTGTGCTTTGGTATCAGAAGTATTTTGTAATTCTATTCTGAAGAACCATTTTAAAACAATTGTTAGGCATTTCCAATTAAGCTGGTTAGCTTGCTATAAATGGCCAAAAGTGCAAACTCTTGAAACTAGTGACCAAAACATTTTGCTATATATTTAAAAACTAATTCTAGTATTGCTTCATTTTCTTGAGCTGACAAACCTAATCAAACATTGTGACAGCATTGGTTTCTCTTGGTGGGCTTAAAGGAAGAAGTGTCACCATTTTACTGTGTTACAATATCACACTCACACTCCTGAGTAGAGGGGATCAGTTTTGTCCTGTTACAAGCTTTTATCTCACCCTTTTTGTTGGATCTTCCATGCTTAGTTTTAAAGTGTGTTGCACGCCTAGGATGTTGCAAGTTCAAAGTAACAGCTGTAACTACTACAGTAAAAGCAATTAATTGTCTTTTAATATTTTTTTCTTTTTTTCAGCTCAGAAAAAGTTGACTGCTTCTGTTTAAACATGATGCAATTTAGAAAGGAGGTGCAGGGAGAGATTTCCACAACCACAAGTGTAAGAAATACAAGAATGTAGCAAGCTAGCAGCCTTTGACTTGTTCAGCTGTATGCCTTCATCCATCTGTTTGAGTGCTTTCCTGACAAAGAATATTTTCCTGACTACAGCCCTTTGAATTTTAATCCTAGTGTGTGCTGGGTTGATGAATAAACAGGAATTATGTTTGTATATTGATTAGGATAGTCTCAGGTCTGTAGCTACAACTAGGACAGTACCTGTTTGAGTAGTAGGTTTTCTGTGGAATTTCATGGGGGCCTGGGGGGATGTTGTTTGTTGTTTGTTTTGTTTTTTTAATACAGAGCTGTTTGCTAGGATCTAAACTTTGATTCAACATATCCCTGCTGAATGAATTGAATTAATCAGAGACGTTGCTAGGAATTTAAGTTATAAATTGTTTTTATTTAGAGAGTACTTTAGGACATAGAAAGATTGCATGCAGTACTTTTCTCATGCTTTATAGCCTGTATACATCTTAGTACATTATTATGAGCTATAAATACATGTAGAGTGTATTCAGTCTCTTTAATGAAACTTTAATTTGTTTTGGTTGCCCTGGGAATTTTTTGGTAGTTAGGATCTCATTTACTACTGTGAGTTATCCTGCAGAGCTCAGTTTTTGCTAATGTGTACAAAAGGTATTTTAGAAGGCCTGGGCAAAAGGAACATGGCTGAATCAATAAGATAATAGTACACAGGTGACCTAAGTTCCCATCTAGCCTAACACTGGAACAGGCTTCCTAGAGAGGTGGTCGATGCCCCAAGCTTGGCAGTGTTTCAGAGGCATTTGGACAATGCCTTTAATAACACGCTTTCACTTTTGGTCAGCCCTGAAGGGGTCACGCAGTTGGACTAGATGGTCGTTGTAGGTCCTTTCCAACTGAAATATTCTATCCTGTCCTGTCCTATCCTATCCTATCCTAAGTAATCACAATATAAAAGATATATTAATCAGTTTGTAATGGCAATGAATAGCAACCACATCTTACCAATAAAGCAAACATTTCAATATTGTTATTCTTTAATAACAGCTTTAATTATTCAGCCCAATTTCAGACTATAAGAGCAATTTTTTTGTATCTTATAGTGGTGTTTTAGCATCTGAGTAGACTACCTAAACAATGTGACCTAGAATAAAATCATATTCCATTTGTTAGCATTTTTGATTTGTTATGAGAGAGGAGAGGAGATTTGCCTCAGTCCCCAGAGGGAGAGGAGAGGAGAGGAGAGGAGAGGAGAGGAGAGGAGAGAGGAGAAGACGTGCACACAGTATTCAAGGTGAGGCCACACCAATGCTGAATGCAGAGTTGACCAGTTGGCTATGCTGTTTGGGGCACCCCAGGATGGGGTTGGCCCTCTCGGCTGCCAGGGCACACTGCTGACACATGTTGAGCCTGCTGTCAACCAGCACCCCCAGATCCCCTTCTGCAGGGCTGCTCCACAGCCACTCCTCTACCCATTTACGCTAGTGTCTGGCGTTGCTCCATCCCAGGTGCAGAATCTGTCATTTGGACTTGTTAAATTTCATGCCACTGATGATCGCTCAATGCTCCAGTCTATCTAGATCCCTCTGCAAGACCTCTTGTCCCTCAAGAGAGTCAACACCACCTACCAGTTTAGTACCATCAGCAAACATTCAACTCCTGCATCCAGGTCATTGACAAACATATTGAACAAAACTGGTCCTAGAATTGAGCCGTGAGGATCACTGCTGATGGCCGGTTCCCAACCAGATGTAGCTTCTCTCACTACAATCCATTGAGCGCTACCCTTCAACCAGTTCTTCACCCACTGCACCATGAACCCGCTCATCCCACAGATGGACAACTTGTCCAGAAGGATGCTGTGTGTGACAGTATCAAAAGCCTTAATAAAATTTTAAAAAAACTACCACCACCTTCCATTTGTCCACTAGGTGGGTGACCTTATCACAGAATCACAGAATGGTCAGGGTTGGAAGGGACCTCTGGAGATCATCTAGTCCAACCCCCTTGCCACAGCAGGGTCACCCACAGCAGGTTGCACAAGAAGGGGTCCAAGCAGGTTTTGAATGTCTCCAGAGTGGGACACCCCACAACCTCTCTGGGCAGCCTGTTCCAGTGCTCTGCCACCCTCAAAGTAAAGAAGTTTCTCCTCATGTTAAGGTGGAACTTCCTATATTCAAGTTTGTGCCTGTTACCTCTTGTCCTATCACTGGGCACCACTGAAAAAAGACTGTTCCCATCCCCCTGGCACCCTCCCTTGAAGTATTTATAAGCATTAATGAGATGCCCCCTCAGTCGTCTTTTCTCTGGACTAAAAAGACCCAAGTCCCTCAGCCTTTCCTCCATATGAGAGATGTTCCAATCCCTTAATCACCTTTGTAGCCCTTTGCTGGACCATCTCCAGCAGTTCCCTGTCCTTCTTGAACTGCGGAGCCCAGAACTGGACACAATACTCCAGATGCGGCCTCACCAGGGCAAGTAGAGGGGGAGGAGCCTTCTTGGCCGCCAGGGCACATTGCTGGCTCATGGTCATCCTGTTGTCCACCAGGACTCCCAGGTCCCTTTCCACAGAGCTGCTCTCCAGGAGGTCAGCCCCCAACCTGTACTGATGCATGGGGTTATTCCTCCCCAGGTGCAGTACCCTACACTTGCCCTTGCTGAATTTCATAAGGTTCCTCTTATGTGGGATATCCACAGAAGGATATCCCATTAGTTAAACAGGACTTTCTCTTTGTGAACCCATGTTGACTGTGCCTGATGATTGCATTTTCCTTTAAATGCCTTTCAGTAGCACCCAGTATTATCTTCTTCATAATTTTTCCAAATACTGAGGTTAGACTAACAGGTCTGTACTTCCCTGGATCTTTCCTCACACCCTTTTTGTAAATTGGACTAACACTGGCTAGGTTCCAGTCAGTGTGGGCCTCCCCAGACTCCCAAGACCTTTGGTAGATGATTGAGAGTGGTTCTGCCATAACATTAGCTAGTCCTTCAGTGCCTGGGGATGAATCCCATCAGGCCCCATGGACTTGTGAACATTCAGCTGATACAGCTGGTCCCTTAGAATTTCAGTGTCCACAGATGGAAAGGTCACTGTTCCCACTCTCATGATCCTCTGACTCAGGGGACCGGACAGCCCAAAGTCTGTCAGTTTTATTAAAGACTCAGGCATAAAAAGCATTGAATGCCTCCACTTTTTCTTCATCCCTATTAGTCAGGTGACCATCTTCAACGTACTTAGATTCTTTAAGTTCTACAAAAATTAGCAGCTATGTAAAGAAGAAAGCAAAGTCAGCACTTCTATTGAGCATGAACTCTACACTTAGCCATTTAAAATATATAGAAACAGTTTTTAATATATATTATTTATATTATAGTTATATATTTTTTATATACATATTATAAACATATATAGAGCTAGCCATTTATATTCATATTTAGTTTCCTGGCTAGCAGTCGGCATGCATGTACTGGCTTAGTTATTAGCACAGCACATTAAAAGCTAGGAATCACAATATGCCTTCTTGCTTTTCTTGGATGGATGTGAAAAATAATTACAGAAAACATGGAAGGGCAAAAGAGCCGAAGAGCAAGAACTGAACTGGTAATGTGAGAGAGGACGGGAGGAGTTGTAAGAGAATGGATAATGGGGGACTCTTGTTCCTGAGTGGCCGCAGGAATATGGGACACATTCATAGAAATCACATTTCATTAGGTCCAGTGTTCACTTGTTTTCTTCTTTGGGGATGAAGTTTAGTCTTGATCTTGGTTGTTATGTTTCAACAAGTAGATATTGCTGTTCACAAATAATTCATTCCTAACTGTTATGTTTAGAGTGTACCCAACATAATACTGGAGCTTTTGTTGTAGATGGAAGCAGGCTACGATACCATTATCTACTATCTTTTTTTTTTTTTTTTTTTTTTGCAAAAACTGAATCTATTTATTATTGGAACAGAGTATACGGATACTTATGCTGACAAGACTGTCAAAAAATGTAAGTGTGTGGGAATGTAACGGAAGAATGGCGAGGAGGACTGTAAACACGCTCAAGTGACTCGCACCTGGGGTGCTGGACAACACACATATCACAATTGTTGTTCAGCCTTGTGTGCTTGCAAGTAGAATACTGCACTTAGATAACGTAAGCCTGGGATGGACTCAGGGACACCTTATCTAGCATACATGAGATCACTGCCTTGTTGTTGAAGAAGATCAAAGCACAGTGGAAAATTATGCCTGCTTGAACCCTTGGAAAGCAGGCGAGAACAGCAAGTTAGAGCTCACACACTCCTAACTAGAACTTTCTCCCGCCTTGCAGTGCCTGCATCCCCTGCTTATGTCCCTCTGCTCAGACGTTGCTGCGGAGACTCCCCAATTAGTGAGGTATTAAGATTAAACTTGTTCTTTGCCTTTCATCCATGGTCTTGTGGTCATTCCTGCATCCTGCCCGAGTCGGCTCACACAAAGTGTATGCTAGTTCAAATATTCTACATGAAGTGTATAATGAGAGATTTCCCTGAGGAATGACTAATCATATATCCAAACAATATCCAAACTTTATGAGAGCAATAGTTGAAAACAGGTGAAGCTCCATCACTGCAGACAATATGCAGCATGTCTTCTCGCGCCTTGTTTTTGTATGGCATAGTCTGTGCTCTGCCTTCATCCCAAGTGCTGCACACTGCTTTTTTCTGTATGCACAGAACACACCATGGTTCTTCTTGTGTGTGGCCATTATTTTTCTTCTTTTCCCTGGCTCTGCCCCTGTCTTTGTTTCCTCTCTGAAGTATATGTCTTTTTGCTTATCTCCCTCTTTAGTACAACATATATCACCCAACGTTGTGTGTAAATCTTTGCCCTGCCGTTTGCTACTCTTCCCCACTTCTCTGCAGTAAGATGTGAAATTGCTGTCTGTCTGCCTCTGAATAGTAAAATCTCCGGGTAAAACTCACCGGCCCGGAGGTGAACTCACTCTGCATTATTAAACGACTGATTAAAAGTAATTTATGGAGTAACAGGCAACACAAAAAGGCCAAAAACACGAAAACCGAGCAGCTCGGTGGTGGATGGCGGTGAGGAGGCACGCTGGCCGGCCCGGCTCCCCGCT